ACTGGAGAAAACTTCTAGGTTGATGGATCTATTCATTACCTCAATTGCAGTGATGTTTTCACTGTAATAGGTAGATAGATGATAGAGATATATAAATTGTATGCTTTATTGGAGTTTGCTGTATGTTAATCGTACTCGATAAAGCTGCTAAATATTTTTTAAATTAGGAATAAAAGAAGTGGGCCATGGTGTGCTGATTCATGTGGCAAAGGTCCTTCCACCTTCTCTGGCATTCCCCCATGTCCCCATACTTCTGACAAGAACAGGACCATGATGGTCAACTCAACACCATGTTCTGACCATTGAAGCAGGGACAAGGGGATTCCAGATGCTGGAACCTGACACCCTTGACCCAACACTTGCTAGCTTCTATTCTTCCTCAACTGAGAAAACCAAACCTGTATTTGGTGAAGTCACTCTAATTTGGATTCTTGGTTCATACACCTAAATACAAATCCTAATGGGAACAGTTCATTTTATATCTCAACACCTCATTGCTTATCATTTAGAGATTTTGCTCTGTGTGTGTGTGTGTGTGTGTGTGTGTGTGTGTGTGTGTGTGTGTGTTTGGTAATAGGGATTGAACGCATGGCCTTTATAAATCTGCAGACCTTTTAAGTTTTAGTTTCCTTCTAAACATGTTCTCACTAATTTGCCAAGGCTGAGCTAGAATTTATGATCCTCCTACCCATCTCCTAAACTGCTGGGAGCACAGGTGGGTGTAACCACATCTGGCTTGCTTTACCTTTTTACAAATATTTTATTATCTATGTATACCCAAATAGTTTTTGTGTTCACAATTGTTTATTTCAACCCAATTTTGCCTTCCTTTAGTGTTCCTTATTTTCCCTTACTAATACACTTTTTTTTTTTTGAGACAAGATTTCACTTTGTAGTTCAGGCTGTTCTTGAACACACTTTATAGCCCAAGCAGGGTGTGAACTCATGGCAGTCCTAATGCCTTAGTCTCCCAAGTACTGGGATAACAGGTATGTGCCACCACACCCAGCCTGGATACACCTTTTAATAGCTATTTTTTATTGAGACTGGATGACAAACTCTGTTAATCTTTATATGTGTTTTCCCTTTTTCTTTCTTGTCAATGTATTTTTCCCTCACTTCAGTATAGACTTCTAGGTTATCTGTAATTTTTCTTTTTTTGTTGTTAGTCTCATTTGTTTGTTTGTTTTCGAGACAAGGTCTCACCATGTAGTACAGGCTGGACTTGAACTCACTATGTAGCCCAGGCTGGCCTCCAACTCACAGCAATCTTCCTGGCTGACTTCCAAGTGCTCAAATTTATAGGTGCATACCACCATGACCAGGTATTATCTGTAATTTCTCATCAGCACCTGTGGCAGTCCAGCCGTCACAACACGAACGTGCCTGAGTTGGGGAGTGAGGATTGAGAAAGGAAAGAACACTCCAGCCTGAGTGGAGACGAAGAGAAGTCTGATTTATTTCACAGAAACAGCTCCTTTTATAGGTTCACATCAACAGGAAGCTTTTAAGGTCACACAACAACAGAAAACACCAAGCAATTGTTTTTATCTTTATGTAAAGACCGGATTTCCTGACTTACAGATAACATCAGATCTTCAGCTAACAAGTTCCTGTTATGGCAGGCTAACGAGTTCCTGTTATGGCAGGGTCAAAGAACAAAACAAGCTTAACAAACAGTGTCCTTGAAAAGTAACAAATGTTACATAGATTGTGTCGATGCCTTAATTGTACAGGAAGAAGTTATTTTCCAAATGTCAAACTCCAGTGGGCCATGACTGGGCCCCCACAAGCACCTTGAAAATATTACTCTATTTTGTTATCTATTGTCCCTGGTGAGAAGTCTTGCCAGATATGGTGGTGCATTCCTGTAATCCCAGCGCTCAGGAGGCTGAGGCAAAAGGATTGCCACAAGTTCAAGGCCAGCCTGGACTAGATAGTGAGTTCAAGATCAGCCTGAGCTACATAGAGACCCTGTCTTAAAAATACAAAGTCCTGAATGAAAAGATGAAAATAAAGTGTTTGTAGATGGGGAGGGGAGGAGGGGGTGAAGGGAGGGCAGAGGTAAGGGGAAAAAATGAGAATCAAGACTTGCCATGTAAAGGTACATGATCCCAACAATGAATGTAACTGTACTGTATCCCTAAAATGTACCAATAAACTCAATAAAATTTAAAAAAAATACAAAGTCCTTAGTTTGTTATTCCTTTGTAGGTAATCTGTACTTTCTAAATTCTTTTAAGACTTTTCATTTTTAATTGTTTTTATAGCCATTAATACGTCCCTGATGCTGCCTCATTGGTATTCCCTCTGTTCTCTTCTAGAACTCCTACTCAGTCATTCCTCCATGTTTATTACTCTTTCATTTGAAAGTAACTTGTGATTCATTGTTCCCAGTCTGTGGTTAACACCATCTATCGAAGCTTTTATGGTTCATTTGGTTTAATTGTTGCATAATATTTCAATGAATGAAACATCAACATATGTTTATCTATTCCACTATAGATAGAATTTGGGTTACTTTCAGTTTGAGGTAACTGGGAATTGTGTAGCTGTGAATGTATCTTTTGGTAATTAGGTATGCACCATTCCACTAAAAAACCACCAAGAAGAAAGATTGCTAAGTTTTATGTGATGTGTGGATGCTCAATTAAATGTGAGTTTCTTCACATTCTGACCAATGTTGGCATCAACTGTCTTGTTCACTTTGACAATTTTGATGTTTGTACAGTTTGTTGCATGGTGGTTTTAATTTGTATCTCCCTGATGACCAATGAAATTAAATCTTTTTTTATATGCTTATTTTCTATGTTCATATTTTCTTTGCCTAGTACCTATTTAAGTCTTTCGCAAATTTTTAAATTCATTTTGTCTTTTTCTTACTGAGATATAGGAGCTCCTTGTATCTTCTAGGTACAAGTCCATCATCATATATATGTATTGTTAAATTTTACTTTATTGTTTACTGTTTCATTCTCTTAAGGTTGTATCGTGCTGAAAAGAAAGTTCTCAATTTTAATTAACTTACTTAAGTTTTCAGTGTAGTCCAATTGCATTTTTCTTTTCTTTTCTTTTTCTTTTTGTTTTCATTGCATTACTGGGGATTAAACCCAGGCCTTAAACATTCCAGGCAAGTACTCTACCACTGAGCTACTTCACCAGCTGCAATTTTTTCTTTTTAAATGTTTTTTCTCTTTCAAATCTTTTTTTAAACAAAAACAGAACAACACTTCAAAAACAAAATAATAAAATTAACAATAGTTAATACACTGTTTTGTTTTTTTGGATTGGGTTTTGTTTTTTGTATGTTTGTTTTTGTTTTTGGTACCAGGGCTTGAACTCAGGACCTCGCACTTGCAAGGCAGGCAAGGTGCCACTGAGCTTAAATCCACAGCCTGTGTATTGCTATCTTGAAAGTAGTTACTCTAATACAAAAAAAAAATTTTATTACAAAGAAGAAACAAACAGATAATAGCACAAAACTTTCTTTTCAGTGAACTGTAGAAACTACTAGTATAAATGTTTATATTTTATCAAAATATTTTCTCATTCTTATTTATTTATTTTGTTATCGTTATTTTGAGATAGGATCTCACTCTGTAGTTCAGTCTGGCTTGAATTCACTATGTAACAACCCAGGCTATCTTCTGACTCACAGCAATCCTCCTGCATCAGCCTCCTGAGTGCTGAGATTATACACGTGCACCACAACACTTGACAATTTTCTTATTCTTTTTTTTTTTCTTCTCTCATTGAGTTTATTGGTACATTTTTGGTATATAATACAGTTACATTCATCATTGGGATCTTGTATCTTTACATGACAGGTCTTGGTTCTCACTTTTTCCCCTTGTCCCTGCCCTCCCTTTACCCCCTCCTACCCTCCCCATTAACAAACACTTTATTTCCACTTTTTCACTTTCTCATATTTTTTCTTTTTCTTTATTGCCTTTCCACTACCCTTCCCATTTTCCCTACACCGTTAGCCCTTTTCTTCCTATTTCACATAATTTTCTTATTCTTGACAGGAGCATTTAGTTTACTCCATATTACTCCATGCCACTTAGAAGACGTAGTATGACTGTATATTTTTAACTTTATATGTTTAATATTTTATCTATAATAAAAGATATATAACAAACTCTCTGGGAAAAGAAAGAAACACTAAATCTTAAAACAAAGGGTGTCTTGGAAGCTGCCACAGGATTATGTGCTATTTCAATTGTGAGCTAAATCTTGGGGAAGCTCTCACCTTTAACCCCAACCCTACTCCCAACCACACATTTAAGAAAAGTTTCCCACAAAATTTTTGTAAAAGGGAAGGGTGGAGGGGCTGAAGGGAGGGCAGGGGTATAGGGAAATAATGAGAACCAAGACCTGTCATATAAAGGTACAAGATCCCAATGATGAATTAACTGTACTGTATACCTAAAGAGTACCAATAAACTCAATGATTAAAAAAAAGAAAGAAAAGTTTCCCAGAGCTGGGTGTGGTGGTGCATTCTTTTAATCCCTGCACTCTTGGAGGCTAAGTCTGGAGGACTGCAAGTTTGAGCCCAGATTGAGCAATTTAGCAAGACCTTGTCTCAAAACTTAAAAAAAAAATTTTTTTTAATGCAAAAAAAGGGCTGGACATATAGCTCTGTGTTAAGGCCCTTGGGGGGGGGATGATGGGAAGGGAAGGGAAGGGAAGAAAAATGAAAAGGAAAGAGTTTCTCAGATAGAAGCAAGTCACACTTCTCATCTGGGAAAATCACATTTTCATTTTAATGACATAAGCTCAAACACCTTGTGTTGGGATTACATTCTATACCATTTTTCTTTTGCAAACATTTCACTTCATTTGATCATCTTGTAATATTCTTTCCTCCCCTCTTAGTCTCTATGCTCAGTTTTTGAGGTATGAACCAACAGAGTAGCTGGAAACACCTGCCAAAAAAGAAAAGAAAAGAAAAGAAAAAGAACCACACAGGAAGCTCAGAAGAGTTGAAAGAACTTTTAACACATTTCAAACATAAGTAGCCAGAACACCTGTGCTTGTTGGGGAGTGGAGGGCTTACAGGACACTCAGGGGCAACAGGCATGTCTTCATACACTGGAAGAAGGGCAGACACAGCATCCTGGACTAGATAACAGTTTCTTCCTGCAGCAGCATCTCTTTTTGTACTGAGTTCAGTCCTTCTCCAAAACTCTCCAGGTGTGAGATGCCCTGGGTTTCCTCAGTACTCTGGAAAATGGGCAACAACTGACAGATACAGCAGGTTGCTTCTTGAGAGAGGCAGATGGCACCTAGGGAACAGCAAAAGCTTGGGTCAGGTGAGAGGAAAAGAGAAAGGAGAAGCAGAGGGTTGCAAGACTCTGTGACATAGAATTCAGGAACTCTATTCTTCAGTGTAAGTCCCTCTGGTTTTGGAACTACCCTCCATGGGTCTCCCCTCCAACAGAGCATATTACAGAGCTAGAAAGAGAAACAATTCCTCAAAGCTCAAAGAATGCAAAGAGCTGTGTTTAAAAATCAGAGGACTATCACAGAGCTGAAAGTACCTTAGCAACTGTTTAAGCTATTAATAAGTCAATGATCAAGCTTTAGATAGACCCTAGACAAGAAAACCCAGGCCTCTTACTGAAAAGTAAGAAAAGAAAAAGATAACCAGTGTTTATAAGAACAAGTAGAGATATATCGAGCAAATAATGGATACTGTATTGAGATAAAAGATAACTACTGCTTTCATCAGGCCAGATACTCTCCCACTAAAAATAGTAAAACTTCTAAATAAAATGTTTCTTTAAGATTTTAAGTTTAAATCCATCAGTGAGGGTGAAGGGAGGCAGGGACAAGGGGAAACAATGAGAACCAAGACCGGTCATGCAAAGGTACAAGATCCCAATAATGAATGTAACTGCACTGTATACCTAGAATGTACCAATAAACTCAATTTTAAAAATTCATCAGTGAGCTGGCACAAAAGCAAGATATTAGTAGAAGCCAAAAACAAAGTAAAAACAGGAATCTAGTTAAGTAAGCTCACATTTGACTTCACCCTGAAGTTTCCATTCTGCTGGTCATTTGAGGTGTAAAAAATAGGATAAAAAGCCCATGGCCTGTTCAAGATGGAAAAATCTAATAATGAATCTGCTGTGCTAAATTGGTACCTCAAAGTTACTTGTGTTGACTGAAAACTCATGAACGTAGGCTAGCTCGTAGATAGGTCTGCAGTGAAATTCACAAAACCTAAAACTTTTGTGATCCTCGACTTGTTGTGAACCCAAGCATCAGGCACAATGCAACCACAAATCCTTTCAGAAGACACACTCTACATCCAGGTCTCAAAGATTTTCCATTAATAAAATTCTAATGGAAATGAACTCACAATAGGAGCACACACACATACACACAAACATACATACTCACACACACACGAAATATACACTATAAATATACACGAAAAAGACACTACAAGGAAGAACCTGAAGAAACAGCAGAATCTAGACTCAGACCTGATATAGCATCTCAGAATTATACTTGGTATCAATTTTTCTCCTCAGTGTTACATTTAACAGTGATATAATTTACAAACACAGATTCAATAAAATATAGCTAGTTCTTCAACTATATAGTCAGAAATGGGTATTCAGCTTATTTATAACTATTTGAATGTTATAGCTACATCATAAATGTTTTTTCTATATTTGATACATTTAAAAACTGAGATACAATACGATCATGGGTCAGGTTAACAAAGGGGAGAAAGGATTAGGAGTTAGGACAAAATTAGGGTTAAGAATCTAAATAAGTGATCGTGCTTGAAGATAAAGGGTTAAAGTGAGCAGGATCATAGATTTCAAAATAAAGATAAAAGCAGGAATACAAAACAGGACTGTGTAAGGGAGGGTGTGGACATTTGGAAGAGTTTATTTCTAGAGTCAAACAAACTCTTCCTGTACAGATGGAAATTTCTCTACCTACACCACCCAATACAGTAGCCACAAGACACATGTGGCTATTGAAAGTCTGAAATGTGGTTAATATGACTGAGGAACCGAATTTTTAACTTTATTTCATTTTAATTCAAGTTAAATAGCCATGTGTAACTAGTGACTACAGTTTGAAACAGCGCTGCTCTAAGGGCCTCCCCAGAGAGGCTTCTAACTGCAGGCAGAGGCAGCAGTTTCGGACACTCACCAGCCAGTAGGAACAGAAGGATGCCAGAGCCCAGGATGTAGTAAGGCCACTGCACAGAGAACTGTGGGGGACTGGGCTTCGTTCTCAGATCCCGGATCTCTAGGGCGTGCAGCAACAAGGCCAGGAAGGCACAGGTCCCTGCAGGGTTACAGAGAGGCACCCTTGCTCTTCTCCCAGGTTCTTGCATTGGTTCCATCTTCCCTCTCTCAGAATTAGACAGTGGCATGGCTCCTTCCATGGAGACTCTTTCTCTGCCTTCACGCTTTGCCCCTTCTGAGCCAACAGCCTCCCACAACACCCCACCTGCCTGTCTCTCCTCCCTTGCCAGCCCATCTCAAAGACATGCATCTCACATCATCAGAAATCCCTTTCCTGACACCCTCTGTATCTGTCCTTGGCTCACTTCAGGTTGAGCACTGTGTGTGACACTGTGGATGAAACCATCTGGCTTTCCCACTGCCTGTCTTCTACCTCCTCCACTGCCCTGGGCTCTTTTAAAATGTCAAAAGGTTCCAAAGGGCTCAGACAGTCTTGCATTCATTCACTTTAGAAATGTTTATTTCACTGGGCCTGGTGGTGCACGCCTAAAATCCCAGCACTGAGGAGGCTGAGGCAGGGGGATGACTGAGAGTTCAAAGCCAGCCTGGGCTACAAAGTGAGTTCCAGACCAGGTTGAACTACATAGCAAGACCCTGTGTAAAAAAAAAAAAAAAAGAAAAAAAAAGAAAGAAGAAGAAGGAG